ATGACTGCTCCTCGCTGGCACTCTTTCGACACTCGACACTCGACACTCGACACTCGGCATGCCACGCATAAAGCTGTCAATGTCAATGTAACGTGTTAATTTCAAAGTGGTTTAGTTTGTTGACGCAGCTTGTTAGAAAGACAGAACCGAACCGTTGCCGAGGTAGCCGAGGCACCGCTTCACCCTACCTAAGTACGACCAGCAGCAGCACCAGCACCAGCAGTGGCATTGGCAGCATCTGCGGTGCTTTCTCATTCCAATATGTGGGGCATAAAATGTTTTGTGTCAAAGCACATGTGGTTTTAATGCCTAAGAGCAACAGGATCATGTGCAGAGGGAACCCTTTTTTTGTCCCCATACCACAACGATTGTCAGCTCGTGTTTCGCAGCTCCATCTTCGACTGCCGCTGCCGCTGTCGCTGCTGCTGCTCTGGCAGTTGATTGATTGAAGTCTTTTATGCTGACTGCTTAGCAGTTGGTCTGTTGACGTCGCTCGCCTTTTGCTAGGCACATTAAACTTATTGATTAGTTGGGAACAGGCTGAGCGTGAGGGGGCCTAGCATGGCAACTAGCTGATGCCACAGGACTAGTGAAATATTTCCATTTTCTAATGATTAATTTATCAAAAGAACTTGGCAGAAACAGCTACAAGCCCAGCTATAATGAGATTTTATTCCTTGAGAATTTTTTGAATCCCAATATTAATATGTAAATATATTTACATAGTAAAAAAGAGACTTTTATTCATTTAAATAGTACAAAATTTCATATTTAAAAATTGTTCTTTTACTTTTTCTCTTTTTTAAAGAGTTCCTTAATATTAATTTATTTTTTATTTTTGTTCGTTATTTACGTTGACACTTTTATAAAAAAATATTTGAAAATACATATGTTTTGATATATGTTTTTAATATATATATTTTATAATTCATTGAATAATATAAAGACATACTCATTTACTATTTTGTTTAGCTATTTGACCAAGAATTTCCTTGAATTTTAAGACCATTGAAACCTAACGCCATCTCCGATAGAAAAGTTGTATTATTCTTACAGAAAACTGCAAAGATTTACCCAACACAAAAAAAACGTATTCTGAATATTAATATGAGTGTATATTACAATGCTAATCTTTTCATAAATTACAACTGTAAATTTGAATAATTGAAATTTTTTAGTATTATTTTTATTATTATTATTATATTGACCTAGTGCAATCAAAAATAGTTCTCAATTCGTGTTTGTTCCATATGCTTTGCCCACTGTGCGTCATAGCTTGTCTTGAAGCCCAGCTAAAGCTGACAAGCCACGCAAATTCAGGGCCCAAGAAGCGAAGTCCCTATAAAGCCGACATTAGCAGCTTGTTAAAATGTATGGGCTCATCTGGCAGTGTGGGCGTAAGGCAGCCTTAAGCCAGAGCGAGGCTATGTGGTTGGCCCATTCTGAGGCTCGTTACAAGCTGCGTTTTGGCTTGTCGGCAGCAAAAATGCGAATGCCAACTGTCATGTGAAAGTGGGAAAGTGGGAAAGTTGAGCAGGGCAGCTGGACCTGATGCCAGCGCCCGGTAATGGGCCGACATTAAGCGCCATCAAAGTGTGGCCTGGTGGCAGTTGTGGTCGCTGTAAATCTGCACGAAACTCGAGCGTAATAAAATTTGAGAGATTTCGCACGTTGACAAAGCTGTGAGCAGCACATCTGGCAGACAAACAACAGCTGAACAACATCCTGGCGCATAAACCAAGTACACGTGGAAAGTGCTGCATGAAATTGACTACAATGGCTCCGGCATGAATGTAAATGGGATTTTAGGCAGCGGTACTTCAGTGCAGTGCAGCTGCAAGTAGATGCAGTTGGCCACACACTCGAAAAATCCGAATGCGAGCACCGATTTGCACCATGGTCAAAGCTCATAAGCTGGTTAAGCCGAAATTGGAATGAATTTGCTTGTTGTTCCTGCTGCTATCGTTGCTGCCCGAGGCTGTCCTGGGCTGGGCTGGGCTGGGCTGGGCTGGGCTGGGCTGGGCTGGGCTCCCCTGCTGTGGTCTGTCCATCACTTTGTCAGCTGACAGTTAGCAGTTTGTACCAGACAATTACCACACAACAGCATGGTCAAAACGTGCTCGCTCTTTGTGCCAGTCAAGCTGCGTAGGTGCACAGTGCCGGCCAATTGTTAATGTGCCCTGAAACACCAGCCAACGAGCACTCTGGCCGAATGGCATTTATTCTGCAGCTGCTCTTCATTGAAGCAGCTCTCGAGTAAGATGTCCTTTCATTTTTATAACATACTTTTCGGCGTAAGCTCGTTGCAATCCTTACAAGCAAGAGTTTCTTTCTACAGTTGCTGAAAATAGTTACATACAGACATTTCGTTTCTCTTTTCTTGAAACCAATTTTCCAAGCAAAAGTGTCATAAATCACTTTTAACTGCCACTATTTTATGCTATTCCGGTCAAAGCTCGTACAACTATGCATGAAGGCAAGGAGAGAGAAGAGCACAGCACTCGACGAATACCCTGGACTCTATTGTCAGCAAATGTGAATAGGATACCCACAATAAAGTAAAATCTTGAAAAATTAAATATTAAAATAGAATATTTACTTGTTATCTAAAATTAAAAAAAAAAAATTTTGTGAGAATATTTTATTTGCAATTAAAATGAGAAATGTTACAAATGCAAGAAAGCCCTTTTCCATGAAAATATATATATGTATTTATTATAATTTCAAATTGTGAACTCAATTCACAATGGCAGAATGTCAGTGTCGGACTCTGCATTCATCATAGCCACTCTTTCGGCCCAAAAACTTGAGTTGCCCTTGTAGGGGGAACGCGACAAAAACTGAGCATTTGATGCTCAACCCCAATGCATAGTTGACCGCAATAAAAATATGCTGGCAACATGGCGTATGCGCAATATAAATAACTGAATGAATGTTGAATGAATAATTGACTAACTAAGTGACTGAGTGACTGACTAACTGGCGGACTGATTGAAAGCGAGTGAAAGTGGCATTCTCCGCACTTGAAGCAATTTGTCTTGCCGCATACGTGACTTTCGCAATTCTCTCTCTGTCTCCCTCTCTATCTCTGACTTTGTCTGTCTGTTATTTTTACAATTTCTTTTACCATCTTTTGGCGAAAATATTTCGCTGCTTGTTTGGTTGCCATTCGCAATTCGCCATTCGCCATTCGCCCTTTTTAATACATTGCTCATACGCGGCGTGTCAAGGTGCGAAGGCGAGGTCAGCACTTTCGCTTTGCCTGCATACCGAATACCCCAAATAGAGCGAGAGCAGGACAGCTAGATGGAGAGGGAGATAAATGGGCGGCAAATCTCTGCGAGCGGAAGTCGCGCACTTGGCGCGTTGAATGGGAAGCTCAAGCGATTGCACAACATGACACAAAAACTGACACTGATACACTTGACTATAACGGTTCGTGTTGTTATTGCTGCATGTTATGTACTACACCTGCTGCTGGTGGTGCTGGTGGTGCTGGTGGTGCTGCTGCTAGTGCTGTTTCCGGTCGTATTTTGTGTGCAGCAGCTAAACGCTATCGTTTGTCTTACTGCACTGCTCATTAGGTTATGCAAGCGAGTCGAGAGAGGCGCGCCTGGATGTGTGCAAAGTTGTGAGAGCAAATGCGCATAGCAAGCGGATTATTAACGAAGGCTCAATGTCAAGTAGTGGCATGCTTAAAGCGCTTAAAGCCAACACTCCCACGGCACACAACGTGGCGAACAGACGCCTCGGCAAGAGGCACTCCAAAACGCACATTGGGAGCTGAACCAAATAAAAGTAAAAATGTTCCCAATGTGAGACGAGCAAGAAATACCCCGTGCTGCGACATGAGTTTTCTTTCTCAGACTTAAGCCATTTTTTGTGGGTGCCAGTACACCCCACGAGACTCATTCTCCTGCGCAGTATTGAGCCGCACAAAAAAAACTGAAACAATCCAAAAGCCTTAAGGTAAACACTCAAAAGATAAGAGCCAACCGAAAGACGACACACAGCACACATACTGCACCGCAGCTGCTGGCTGTGAATGCGAGGTTGGCAGTTGAGAGCGACAAGAGTATGCTGCGCTGCATTTGTCTTAATTTGTGACAACTGCAGGACAGGACAGGACAGGACAGGACAAGCCAGCAAACAGCCAACCGGGTACAACTAAAAAACGAAAGCAAGCTGCTAAGCAACCAAGCTGCAGTTGCCAACAAAAGCTCATAGCTTCAAAGTTTTGTGTGGGCGGATGGCACTAAAAGCGGGCTTAGCTTCCTACAATTGTAAAGCGTTCTTTTATGACAACTGCATTGATCTGGCTCCACTTTAATCAGTACATATATATACTTTGGCGGAAAAAAAAAAGTCGTGGTGTTTCTTCTGCTGAACACAATAAACTCCATGGTGAACTCAATATTTACAAAACAATTTGAAACTAATATTAAGATTAATATTTCTGAGTCTCTAGTACACATTACAAGGCTACAAATAAATACACCAGCAATCTTTTTAATTGATGTTTATCTTTCAACGTTTTAAATTCGCCTACTATAATAAAAATACATATAATAATAATAAAAGGGAAAATTATTTTAAAGGAATATTACTAGCATAAAAAAAAAACATAAAATTAATTAAATTTACCGTAATAAATATTGTCATTGCATTTGATACATACATATATTATCAGTACAATCCATTCAAACAAAAAAGTTTAATTAATTCAATTAATTCCTAAGTAAAAAAAATGTATATCTTTGAATTTTTTTTAAATTATAATTTTCTATTTGATTTTTTTTTCACATTTAAAATTTAATTCATAAATACAATTAATTTTTGTTAATTTACAATTTTTTATCATTTCTATTATTATAATTAGTATTTATTTCCAATTTTCGAACTTTGCAAAAGTAAATAGAATTAACGTGGTTGCATAGCTTTACTCTTTAGACCATGCTCAAGCACAGGCACAGGCCTGGCTTAGTTATATTTGTCAGACAGATAATCTGGATACTTGTTTCAAAATTTTAGATTCTTAAAATTTTTTTTGGCGTACAAAATTTGACACACAGGCATTACACTCATGGCAGCTGCCGCCAAAGATAAAACCAGTACGAAGAAGGTCATAACCGTACAATCAAAAGACGATTTTGATCGGGTCGTTGCGGAGGCGGGCAACAAACATGTTCTGGTGGAGTTTTTTGCCACGTGGTGTGGCCCATGCGCTCTGATCGGGCCTCGTCTGGAGGAGTTGGCGCAGGAGTACGCGGACTGCTTAGTTATCGTCAAGGTGGATGTGGATGATAATGAGGATCTCGCCGAGGAGTATGATGTCAGCAGCATGCCCTCGTTTCTGATCATCAAGAACAAAATCAAACTGGAGCAGTTTGTGGGCAGCAGCGGCGAAAAAGTGCAGAGCACTCTACAAAAGTTCTGCGGCAAGCGCGATGAGAAAACTACTACGGCTGCGGGTGCGGGCCCCAGCCAGAAGCCGAACAGAGTGGTTTCCATGATCAAAGTAGTTAGCCCCAGTAAAGCGAATGTTATGCATTCGGACAAAAAATAGACCACCTCTGCACAAATCGCTGATTGACGATCCATTTAGGTCCTTTGTACACGAATTAAAAAAATTCAAGGCCCAAATCGCGCTGTGTTTTTGTATATGAAAATTGATATATATAGATACATATATATTCTTATTGCCTGAATAAAAAGGTTTTTCCAAAATTCAGCCCTGTTGCGCACTAAATCGATATTTATATTATATGTAAACACAGTCTGATAAGTCCTCTTCCACTTCTTCAACACAATTTAAGCATATTTACGTTTCGAATTCATTTTAACACGATAGGTTAATATCAATCATATAAAAGAAATAATAATATATAAAATAAGTATTAATACTATATGCTACAATATGTCGCTTATGAAAGAAGCCAACATCCTTTGTAGTTGATCTATAATTTCTACTCCAACTTGAGCAATACCATCTGGCTTCATTTACCTACTTATATATGTATGTCGCATCACGTGATATTATTCTTGATTCAACAGTGTTGAGAATAACAGGCAATTCGTGTTTATCGATTAATTTAGTATTGTAAAAAATTATAAGATGTATTTTCACTAGGAGAGAGACAACTAATGCTGTTGCTGACCGTGGTCCCGGGTGTCGCTTGGTGAGAGAGACGGCTAGTTATATCCTCCGCACTCGGTCGCTATGCTTTCGATGAACGAGCTATGCGACCAGAATTAGAGGTTTTGAGTAGAGAAGAAAAATGACACTAGCTCAAAAACTATTGAATAAGAAAGAGCTTTGTAAAAAGAATGAAGCGATACCGGGAATTCATTGGTACGCGCAGCTATAATAGAAGATATAAACGATAAATGCAGCGCCCCGACATAAATATATCCTTAATAAGCAGATAATAGCCACGATTTCTGTTAACATTTATAGCACACTCCGTCTTGTACTACTACGACTACTGCTTCTACACGCTCTTCCCACAATTTTGATCTGAGCCCGTTGCCAGCAAGTCAAATTCTTCCCAAGCTCATCACCATATCGTTTCTCAGCTTATTGAAAACGTATTTCCCTTATTGGATGTGACTGTTCCTTTTCATTTTCCTTTGTTTTCGTTTTTGTTTGCTATTCGCTGCTTTCCTTTCCTTTCTTTTGCGCTCCAGCTACCAAGGGGAAAATTCAAAAAGTTTTATCAACGTTTTATATGAGAAAATTTGCTGGAAAAGAGCGAAAGCGTAGGGGACCTGACGGCAGCCTCGTGCCATCACTTTGAGCAAAAGACATTTGCATTTTTATTAAAATGAGAAATTGCAGCAGTTGCAGTTGACTGAAATTTCGCCCTATGCCACCACTGACCAGGGATTAAAGTCGTACTTCTTTGGCTAAAATAATAGTCTTTAATTACATAGTCACTTCCAGCTGTTTGATGTTTCTTTGTTTTCCATACATAAATCAAGACTCCATTTAGTCCTCAACTTGCCAGTAATTAACAAAGGGGAGAGACGAGCAAGTTCGCGCAACACTTAAGGGCTCTCATAATTTCCGCTTGTATTGCTTTAAGGTTACTTTTTACGGACTCCGGAGAGCTGTGCATTCCTTGCCTATCTACTTCATATGTTGGGTGTTTATACAGTTGCTGCAGCTGCTTGAGTGGGTGTTGGGTAAAATAATAATGAATTTGCGGCATGCCGTACAAACACGCTCAACAGCGACGCCGACGCAGACGTCGGCGCCATTGCACAACATGCGCCAGATTTAGCCCGAGCTATCAAGAAGATGCACATGCATCAAGCCCTTCACCCAGGCCCCTGTTCATGCCACACTCTGCTGGCAGCACACACCGCCGCCGCCCGCCCGCCGGCTGGGCCCCTAGACGTGTGTGTGTGGCAGCTAATATGTTGGTTGTGTCGCCTCTCGGAGTCGCTGAAAAATGCGGTGACATGTGCTATAGCTACATCTGCTACCGATCCCCGACGGCTGCGCCCCCTGGCCGCTCCTGCGGTCCACTTCACAGCTGCTCCATTGAAACAAATGCGCAGGGCGTGCGTACGTGTATCCTAGCCCAGCCTAGGCAAAAGGGCCTAGGGGTTCGGAGGAGCTGCAAAGCTTTGATGCGCTGAACAATAGCTATAAAAAGGATTAACTTGCATAACAAAGAAGATGGGGCGTGTGTCTATGTCTATGGTGGGCGTGTGAGGCCTGGGTGTGCATGTGTAGGCGGACAACGATGCGACAGGCAGCTGGCGTATAAATTTCCAAGAGCCAACCAACCAGCTGCCTGGCATTGGTCCATGGTCTACCAAATTTATAGTTGCTTCTCTACCAGAGATTTGCATCCAGCACATTGTTAGTCCTGGGCTTCGTTTCTCTCTCGATTGCAATTATTTAAGCAAAATTATTCTCACAGCTAGCAAATTGCTTAAAATGTTCATTAAACAATTTGAGCAGAGGGCAGAGCGGAACAGACGAGGATGGAATAACAAGCCAAAATTGACATGGTCAAGGAATCAATAAATTATTATGGAAAATAGCCAAAGCTTCACTTCAAGCTCTTCCCAAATATTTACATAGGAATATGCATATGGAAATTACTTTGAAAACAGAGTATTAATTTCAAAATGTAATTAAGATACCAAATCAATTATAGACATAAATATTAAGAAAAATGCAAGATGTAGATATTGTAGACCAGACTTTTAAATTACCAGACAGCCAAATCGGTCTAGGAATCAATAAATTATTATGGGAGGTGACTAAACTTTTTTAAAGCTATTCTTAAATGATCAAATCAACTGGGCTTGTCAATCACACCCAAAGGAAAATAAAACACCTATTTGTACATCCTTTATTTGCCATTCTTGTAAAATGATATGTAATGTGTAAAGTCTAACACGTAATGTCTAACGCATAGTATCTTGTGAGGACTTAGGTGTAATGTCTAATGCCTAATGTGTACTGTTTCAGCCTTGAGAATGAGATTGCACGTAGTTAGTGTCTTATGTCTTAGTGTTTTTATGAAAGATGAAGGCCCTAAACTGCGGAGAAAACTATCTAGAAGTACGTATAGTTATGTAGTGCAAATAGTGTCTATAGCATACATACAGCGCTATAGTGTATAGTATATATAGTATATATAGTACATATAGCTTGTATGGTATATATAGTGAAAAAAAAAAATTTCAATTGTATATAGTAAACATAGTACAAAGCGTGTAAATAGTATAAAAGTACAAAGTGTATAAGGTATATATAGTATATGGATAACAGTTTTGATAATTGCATTCCAGTTGCGGTTTGTATTGAGTGTCTAGTGTTAAGTCCTACATCAGTGTCGACAGTGTTGGCATACAAGATTAGTCTTTTAGTTTACTTTTTTACTGGCTCCTCGTCGCTGCTACACTGACTCAGATCGCTGACACTGTTGCCGCGTCGCGGCACCATGGCCAATGGGGGCAGAGTCGGCTCGTCGTCTGAATCGGTATCGTTGGGAACGAATACATAGACGCCATATTCCTCGTCCCAGAACAAAGGAACATGGTTGGGTGGCTGACCAGCACAGAGCCGCTGTACGCCCGGCGCTGGACGATTCTGATCCCGGACGTAGGTATAATAGTCGCGCCAGGTGGTCTGACGTCGATTGCGCGTCAGATCAATCGATGCCGGCACCGGTCGCAGATCCAAGCCCGAATCGTTCGCCTGTTCAGTGGCTGCTGCCTCAGCCCCTTCCGGAGGGTTGGCATCGCCCCCGGCCACTTGGGGCGGCAGTTCGTAATTCGGATTGACGGGCGGAGCTTCCTCGATAAGGTATTCCAATTCGGAGTCAGAGACGGACTCCGTATCCACGCCATGCGCGTTGCTCGCCATATCCGTTGGAGCCGGAAGGGATGCGCTCGTCTCAATCACGTTATTAGAGTCTTGCTCATTATCAGAATTACGGCCATCGTCCGATTCTGGGCCCAATGCAAACAGCAGCTGGCCTTCAACAATTACAATATCGTCGTCCCAGGGCCGCGATACGTTCCGAGCATTGGAGTTGTTATTGGAGTCAGACATTTTTGTTTTCTAATTGTATTGAATTGTACACAAAAAATTATTTTTGAATTCAAGAAAAAAATAAATTCTCAAATTTTCTCACGTGACTAGTAGATTTTTGTTAGACTTTGAATAGTGTTGCTTTGAAGGAAACTTGCTTGCTCTCCCAAGCGCCGAGCTGTGATTATTGAAGAAAAGCTTACTTGCTTACTCAAAACGCACACTCACACCAGCTTCGAATAGATTTGCAAGGCTTGCTTTGATTAATTTAAAATTAAGAAACTTACAATTTCAAATAGGAAGTGCGTTGTTGAAGGGGAGAAATAATTGAACTGCCTAAATAAATATAAAACGCGTTAAGGAATGACAATCTATAACATATTATATCGATAAGTAATAAAATACATGTTTCATAAGCCAAATGTGAATGGCTCTGCAGATCTTTACATATCGATTACATTTAACATTTATCGCCTCATTGAATTCTGGTTCAGTTCCAGTTTCAGTTCCGTTCGATTCCCTAATCTGCCGTCGTTTGGCCATTCGACGTGGACTTGCAATCGTAAAGTGATGAAAGCTCTCTTGGCTGCAGCGTCTTTTATTTGTCAGTGAAGGGGACATGCTTCCTGCTGTTTCCGTTCGCTTCTCTGCTTCACTCTGCGCTGTCAGGCGACCATTAGGTCCTTCGCTGGCTGTTGAGTGTCACTTGCAATTTATGTTTGCCCTAAGTGAAAAATGCACAAATGAAAAATCAAATATTCAGAACAGGATTAGAGCTCAACCCAGTGCAAAGCGAACGTCCCTGATGGACGCCTTCCTCTGAATCTCAATCCCTCTCTCTCTTTCTCTCTATCTATCTCCCTCTTGCTCTCCATCTATCCATCTATATCAATAACAAAGCGATTTATGCGGCAAGTCAGTAACGAAATTAGAGTTTCCTTTTCGCAGCAACTCAACAAATTGTTCGCTGCTTTTAAGCCCATTAATTTTTAATGAATTTTAGCTAAATAACAAACAGCTACC